TTGCTTTTCTAAAAAAAAGAAATAAACAAAAATATAATTTCAAAAAACTAATATAACTAATATCCAAATCTAGAATATTTACCTCAGTTTGAATTTGAAATAAAAAATAAGACATAAAAGCCCATTACCACCATAGGCCATGGCCCCTCCTTGTCTCCTTCCTTTTGGGCTCGGTTAACTGAACCATGCTCGTTTCTGCATCATTTATTTCCTTTTCTTTTATTGCCCAACAACTAATGTTGATGGAGGCCTTGTAGACTTGTAGTGATAACTTTTGTTTTGGGGTTTGTCATTGGGATTTTGTATGATAACAATGAATACAAAGTTTCAATAAAATAATAACGCATGTGATGTGAATTACTTTAGTTTAATAATACGAAGTTGAAAGTCAGAAAAAACATTAAAATAATCCGATGCCATTTTACTAAATTAATATTTTGTTATAGCCATCTAACTTTAGATTATAGGCCTCTTCTATTCTTTAAGACGACAAAATTTGATTCAATTTATAACACCTTCGTTTGAAATTTTTGCAAAACAAACCGGCCACATGTGTGTCGCGGTGTCGCCGTTAAAAAAAGTCCAAGGAATTCTTGTAATTTATTATTTTTCAGAATAGTATAGTAGTCAAATAAATTGATAAAAAAAAAAAAAAAAAACGATTCTTGTAATTTAATGTTGTATGCTAAAGTAAGTTAATCACAAAATATTAAATTAAAATTTTAACACGGGAATTATTTCTGACATTAATGTGGTCGATATATTTATTTTATTTCCAAATATTAAACCCCTACTTTAAATGATTTGTTTTCTTTTGAACGACAGTATTTTATTAAGCTAGAAATACATGGTGTGTGGGTTTGTGTTAAAATGGATAGAAACACCATAAACTATAAAGTTTGATATGTTTTTTTATTATGTTTTTAATTGGGTTAGGTAGAAATCAAGTTTGACCCAGTCAGATTCACGTTATTTGATATCACATTGAGAAGTTAATAACTCCCTCCCTCTTCTGTTACTCAGTCAGATTTAGACTCAGTTGTATATTGACTCATTTAGATCTAACTCAATTAACAACTATCAAACATCCATAAGTTTGATTTTGCGCTCTACATTTAGCCCAAAAAAACGTAGTCATTGATATATTTTCGAACACAACAGTTGACACGACACTATGCCCTTTCTAAGTTGCAAGAAAATTTGTTGATATTATCTTTTTCGGTCTAAGATGGTTTTTTAATGATTCTGGAATTGATAATTGCTCTTGAACAACAATCCCAACATTGAAGTCTTTCGGCCTATACCACTTATTGACCTTGTTCCGAAGGGATTTTGCATGATTGCACTCCAAAATTATAATTGCTCTTGAACAACAACACTAAATCAGACTTTTACTTAATTTTTAATTAACTTTTCCATCTACGTTTCTATATATTTTATTATACATAGTGAAATAATTCAAAAATAGGCTGCACAAGCTCTATGAAGTCGCACACCCAACAATTGTTCTGGGTTGACTCTATGATTCATTATCTCTTACATCATACCATATAGATGACAATTGATGTTTCCTATTGATACACCTCTTTTGCTTTATGCTGATAAGGTACAAATTCTATCAAGAAAAGAACGGCATTTAAAACTATTAGCCATTATGGGAACCTAACTTTTCCAATATGCCAGTTGCAACTTGTAAGTTGTATCACATATCTTGTTCTCGATTTTCATCAGTATCGATGTTGTCGAAAATACCATTTAATTGGGATGAGAAATTAACATTAAACGTGGAGTTGTAGTAGTTCATTATTTGTTCTTGGTAGCCTCTTCTACCCCCCCTTCCAACTTTCATCACCATGTTTTTTCTCTAACTTACATCTTTTATTAGAATCTTTTATTAGAGTCAATAGAAAATAATTATTGAAATATTGAGAGCATTACGTATGTGGTAGACCAATAATCATACCAAAAGGGGATTTGTTTCCTCTTCTCACCTTGATTTTGTCATATTTGTACCTTCACCACCAAGTTTTTTTTGATATCCTTCTTTGCTCAAAGCAACCCAATTAATTTTTTAATTTGTAGTAGTATCACCCCATAAAAATCTTCTTCTTATACTCTCCTATTTTTTTGATGACTTTCAAAGGTGCTTTGAATAGGAAAAAAAAATATAAAAGGAGACTTCCCTCCAAGTGATAATGTTTTGGTATGAACTCATGAACATAGTCGTTTGTTTTTTACTTTCCCCCTTGACTGGAGTTTGTTTTTATCGAGATTTATCGGTTATATATTGTCTTCAAACGGTGTATACACAAACTTTGATACGTTGTCTTTTGAGGTTTGTATAATTTGTCAGACTCAGTTAATTACTGAATTATATCATTTTTTTTATTGTACATAAAATCTTTAGCCTTGATTCTTTTAGTTTACCCAAAAAGACTATGAATTTTTATATTTATTTTTGGGGAAAATTATAAAAAAATCAATAGTTGCCAAAAAAACTTGAATTTGACATCGAGTTTTTTTTTTTTCGTAATTATATCACTATATTTACAATTTTGTTACATTATCAACCAAATGATCGATTCTACATGTGCTCTTGGTAACCACTTTTCTTGAATTACAATAAAGTTCACTATGTTTACCAAAATTATGATTTTGATAATATGTTTTTTCACAATTATGTCACTATATTTTACAATTTGGTTGCAATATCAAACAAATGATTGTTACCATCAATCTAGCACGTTACCAAATAAATAAAATGATAATAGTATGATGTGGAAGCCACATCACACCACCAATCCAACATTGTGTGCACGTAAGAAAAGTAAGACCCATGGCTGCGACACAACCCTTATAGGGCGTGGCGCGGTGAGGAAAAAAACCTCCCTATAAAAGGAGGGTCACCCCTCATCATTTCTTTCCACCAATTCTTCCAACTCTCTCCCTCTCTACCTCTCGAGATTTCGGTCCACCATGATTTAAATTCTCGTTCTGTAATCTGGTTAGTGAAGCTCTGGAGATTTTAGAAGGATAACTAAGGAAATGAAGTAAACATCGAAGTTTTACTCATATCTAACCTATGCAGTTATAGCGGTCCAAAATAAAATATCGGTCAAGGAACGATATTTTATATACAGCTTATCGTGATGGGATATCGGTGGGGTATCGATATTTTTTATATTACGTAGCGTCTTTGTAACTTTGGGTTGTATTTGATGAATACAAGGTCATTAAGTAATACATATTGTTAACGTTACCCTGTACGGTCACGTTAAACTTAATGGAAGGCCTAGACGAAGCGTTAACTGCTAGTACCTTGGCCGAGACCCGATCTTGGCCTACGCGATCTAGCTTCGGGTTGATAGCTCACTTCCCATCACAAGGAAAGAACATTCCATGCGATCTCCTTATTCACCCACAGCCAATCAGAAGTCGACGAATAGCTCACATGACGACCAGAACTGATGTCACCTGACAGTTAGTTAGCGTGGGCAAATCTCCTAGTAAGAGGAAGCCACATCTCATGTTAATCGGACGAGGTCCCCACGATCCATTAGAGGCAGGTATAAGAGGATCTCTTCCGCCTCAAGGAAGGGATCCATCTTCTCTCTCAAAAAGAATATCCTAAAATAACCTATCTCAGAAATCTAACTTGATCGTCGGAGCGACGTCCCGAGAGAACACCCGGGCGTCCTTTAACGATTCTTCTATGTGTTGTGTTCTCTGGAAAACTCTTGAGGCAGATCCATCATCCGGCATCCAAATCCCCTGAAACATGTCACAACACATATAGTAAATTAGAAAATATTTGAAGAAAATGTTTGTCAATCCCATAAAAACCCCACCATATATCTACATTATAATAATAAATGAAGTGATTTAATAAAAACTTTAGCTATAAACGCTATTTCATTGCTATCCCACCGATATTTTCCAAATATTAGTCAAATAGCGGCCAATATCGGTCAATATCGCCGATATTTGAGGTACCACTATTTAGTACAACTATTTTTCCAACTACCGATAACTGCTATCCCACCGCTATTGACTGCACAATATCTAACCTACTTAGTTGTTTCAAAATATTCAGGTGAATTAGTTTGTTCATGTAACTCTATTCCAACGGTCCTCATATTCGAACATACAAAGGACATATATCAGCACACATGGAATAGTTAGATAACTCATCTGAATATGCTTGAAAAACCTAAGTAGGTTAGATAAGATTAAGTGTAACTTAATTTGATGAGGTCTGAATAGTTGCGAGCATAACTTTGATGTTTACTTATTTTACTTAGTTATCCTTCTGAAACCTCCAGAGCTTCGCTAACTAGAATATAGAACGAGAAGTCAAATCATGAGGGACCGAAATCTTGAGAGAGAGAGAGAGAAGGAGAAAGAGAGAGAGAGAGAGAGAGAGAGAGCTGGAATAATTTGTGGAAAGAAATGAGGATGGGTGACCCTCCTCACTAGGAAAACGAATAACCCCTCCCATAAATATTTGTTACCTTCATTTATCCGTTCTATTTTGTGTTTACTTTTGTATAGGATTCTAGCCGAAGTCCAACGTATTAGACTCAAATGGATTTTATGACATTTTAATTTGATAGTAGAAACATAATAACAGCACCCTAATTTTTTTATAAAAAAAAACAAAAAAAAGAAAGAATGGGTCAAGTCAAATAGTCTTCTTCGTAATCTACATATTGTGGCTAGAAATGTGGTACAAGGAATTCACAGCATCTCGTAGAAAAAGAGTATAAAAAAACAAAAGGCCTTTTAGATTCGATTTTTTATCATAGATAATCATAATTACTAAAAAAAATTGTTTCGTTTTACAAACTTGAGGTTGATAAATCCACGAGTCTAGAAATTCATTTTAGACAATTGAACCTTCTCGAACTGTTTCTTGTTAAGAACCAAAAATATTTGTGCAAAATAACAAATGATAAGAAGAAAAAAAGGCCTTGTACACGTAATGGATCTTGAAGTACTAATTATGCATCTCCGTAACCAAATCCGCCCACGTTAGGATTACTTGTCAACGGTTGCTCAAATTTGATAGATTCGCCTTCTGTAACAAGAAGTTTTGGCCCTAGAGGGATACTATCAACCACTTGACGTCCACCCGATGCATCCGTTATGGTTATTTCGTATCCTCCCTTTTCTTTGTGTAGGATTTTGCTGACTATACTGGATGTTGTAGTATTATAAACTCTATTATTACTCTTGCTCCCATCAAGACAAATTTGGCCTCTTCCCCTGTTTCCGCCTACATATATAAGATATTTTAAGAAGTGAATGCCTTTCTTAGTATCGGGGTCCACATAAAGTATAGGAAACATGATTTCACTATATTTCTGACCAGGAACAAGGCCTATGACAAGAATATTTTTTTTGATTGGGGCGATAGCTCTGAAAAGACAGATTACCCATCTTACTTTGATTTTATTTATTGTTTGGCAAATCAAATGTTAGGTTATCCATAAAAGAAAAACTCATTGTGTGTGGTTGTGCGCCTAAATTGAAAAAATGACAACAATATTTATTTACTTTTATTTTATAGTAGGGGAATTCTATACGTAACCCCTACCTAATTGCTTTGTGTACCCCCCCCCCCCTTGATTTGGCGATTTATGTGAGTGAGTGGGGTACATATAGTAGCACCCTTTATAGTATCCTACTTTTCTTTCTTTATATCACACCATTTTTTTATTAAAGCATTTAACTTTGACATTACAATGCTATAATTGGTTTGAATATACAATGTTGTAACTATATTTGGTGAGTACTTGACCGGGTTGTGCATGGTCCTTTTGGGTTGCCTTCACCATAGCAACTTGACATGGTAATTTATGGAGAGAGAGAAGATATTATGATTTATTAATATATTATAAGAATAATATATTAAAGGAGAAATCATATTATTTAATTAATATTACTCATAAATTAATTAGGAATTAATTTGGTGACTAAATGAGATTATTTGAATAAAGGGGGTTAAACTGTCAAATGTTTGATAGTTGAATTTTGGGCCGAGAAACCTAATGGATAACGGGATGAACGAAATTATGATGGGAGACCATCATATTTTCGTCTATGGCCTTATTTCAGAAGGTTCCGTGGGCTGCTTAATGTTAAAGCTATCCATTAGGGTTTTGATAGAAACCCTAGTTGCTCCCAATATAAATAGGACCCCTAGGTTACAGAAATCGGCCACTGCTTCTTCTCCTAGAACCCTAGAGATGATTTTTTGTGCCCCCTCACTCTCTCATATACTACCCTTTTGCTAGTTGGTGTTTGTAAGCCATTAGAGGAGTTACTGTCACAGCTAGGAATTTTGATGCCTTGAAAACATTGAACAATGATGACAAATGTGAACCAACAATGTGAAAGCTTGTAGGATGCTTATTCAATAACAACAAAACTTCAGTCAAACACTTCATACAAACACTGCAAATAGTCAACAAAGAATTGGAAAACCCTAGAAATCCTTGTTTAAGTCCATTTTGGACTAGGATTTCCTTATTGGGCCCAATGGACCAATAAGTTTCCAATTTGACTACTTTGGGCTTAGAACTCTTAAATGGGCTCTAATTGGATCCACTTCTATTTATTTTAATATTTTGGGCCATATTGGGCATATAATGAAATAAAATACTTTAATGGACCTTATTGAGCCATAACTAACCCAATTAGCCCTAATGGGCCATAAAAATCATTTCATGATTTATTTTGGGCCAAAAGTTATCTAAATTATCTATAATTTGGGCTTAGGCATTTAAGGGCCCAATTCTTTCCTTTTCCCTCTCCAATCTCAACCCAAGCCCACAAAGAAAGAAAGTTGACTTTTTCCTATGCCACCTCACAATTGTTCATGGGGTAACCATGCATTTTTCTCATGTTCCCATGCATGGTCACTTCAAAACTCTCTCTTCTCTCTCTATTCTATCCTCGGCCAAGAGCAAGGGAAAACACACACATACAAAACACTTAAAACTCTCTCTAAGTCTTCAAGAACATCTTCTCATTTCTCTTTCAAAACTTTCAAGATTTAAGAGCTTTCAAGGAGGTTTTTCCCACAAACACATCATCTAAGGTAAGTTGATATTAAATCCATGATCTAGCTACTTCATTTCATCCAAAAATCTCTTCTAAATCCATTCAATCTTGTGATCCTACACCTTAGAAACATCTAAGTTCGAGACCCTCTAAGAAAGCTTGCTAGGATCGAATCTTCTTCATCTTTTCCTTTAAAACCCGAAACTACAACTCAAGGTGAGCTTCATACCCCTTTCTTTTCGGTTTTCAAGTGTTTTATGGGGGAGAATACAAGAAAATGTGTAGATCTATGTGTATGTGTATGCTATGTGTGATTTGATGCATGTATGTGTGTGATTTCATGTGTTTTGTGATGAATATGTTACCAAAAAGGATGTAAACCCGAGATCTATGAAAATGAGAAAGGAAACAAACATAATCTAAGCTATTTTTCACAAAACAAGTCAAGAATAATAGCTTATAAGGTCATGATGAACATATTCTAACATAAAACCCATTTTTGGGTTTAAATTGTCAAAAATACAAAACTTGGGATACAAATCGACAATTCATAGTTTCTTGAAGGTCAAAAGGGTCAAAATAGTTGCTATAATCATTTTTCTGAAAAAAAAAATTCAAGGGACTTAAAATGTAATTTTTTTAGCTTAATGGGCTAATTTTTGGGCTTTTCGGCCCAATAAGCCTAAAAATGCGAAAAAGGATAAATTTTAGGGGCTGAAATGAAACTTTCTGTAAACAGGGGGTAATTAGCATGACAAAATCATTTTATGAGTCAAAAATGCTTTTCACTATCAAAAAGGACAAAAAATGTAAACTTTTTAGATTTTGGGCAAAAACTGTAAAAGTTGTGAAAAATGGGGCCCTAACCGAGAAACACTATTCTGGAAGGGTTGAAGTTGTCAACAAAATAAATTTTGGGTTGAAATTGTGTTTTCATCAAATAAATACTACATAAGTGTCAAGAAAAGGTTTTAAGGACAAAAAAATGAAATTCTTCTATATAAAAGGACCAAAAGTGTTATTTTTATAAAAGAAGGGTAGTGAAAAGATCAAATCCCACTTTTAAACAAAATAATTCATTAATACAAAACACAAAATCCACAACTACTGACGAAACGGAAAACAAATACACTCTCAACAACAAATCTCGTTACAAACGAAGTGATTCGATCTCGAATTAATACAAAACAACAAGCGTTGAACAAAACCATCTAGATAAACACGCGATAACTACGATGAGCAAACTTACAAACTTTGGGCTTGGAAGTTTCAAATCATGCTTGTTGGGCCTTTCTAGCCCATTAACATGATATTTGGCCCCAAAGGGAATATGCTTATGTGCTATTGGGCCTCCTATGACCCGATTTCATGTAAAAGGACTTTCAGTGGCTATGCTGTGCTATTGGGCCCTAGTGGCCCATTAGTAATGCTAGTGAGGTCAAGAATTCAAATGTGAGTTAGGACAAGTAATGTCAGGGTGTTTTTCAAAATATCGGATTTTCTGGGTTTTACAAACTATACAAAATCATTTTATCACAACATTGCTTATGAACTCACCAACATTTCATATGTTGACGTTTTTCAAAATTAACTTGTATTCTCAGGTAACAGGTAAACCGAAGAATAAGTACCAAGTAATGTTAGGGTGTTTTGCTTATGATATCTATCAGACAATTATGTTATGAATTTGTAATGTGTAAAAACAAAGTACTGGATGTAAACAATATCAGTTGTATTATTTTAATGCATGGTGATGATTTATGTTATTATTCATGTATATTCATTGTGATGGTATTCAATTTAAGTCACAAGATCCCTCAGACGTTTCCTCCATCTGGTTCGGGGTGTGACAGTTTGGTATCAGAGCTCTGTTTATAGTGAGCTAGCATATCTAACCACACATTGATATGCAACTATAAACCAAAAAGACGGACTAACACAACTCTGAACAAAACAAGTAAAACATAACGATAAAACATCTTTGCTTGTGTGAATTAGGAAAAAGAACATAATACCAAACCAAACAAGATAATGCTAGCATGTCGGTTAAGCCAGGACCGTTCATAGTCGTAATCAAGGAGTGGATGTAGCCTGATCAACTACATTTCCTCCAAGGTACAACTATCACATGTCCCGAGGAAATCGTGATGGCTAGGGAACCTAAAAACATACCCCTTTATCACCAAGAAGAGAACATCAACTCAATCTATACAATAATTGTAGTGTCCTAGGAGTAATGTGTTGGGTTTTGAGCATTCTAACACTCCTAAGTGTACATGCAACCCTAAATACCTTGGATCTATGTTTTCTCTATTATACATGCAAATATGAACATCCAAGGTATTATCCTAATTTAGCATACAAAACTATCAATATAACAAGATAGAATACATACCTCTTTGATGTAGAATGTCTTCATGAAGCTTGAGTGCCTAGTGCCCCAAGTGTGACACCTTAAAATGGTTCACACAACACCAAATACACTTGGAATAACTTGAGAGAATTCTACACTTCATGAAAATCGGCTAGCCCTTTCTTTCTCTCTCTCGTGGCCGATTTTGATCAAGAATAAGATGCTTATATAGTTATACAATTAGGGTAAACCCTAATTGTCATGACTTTCCATTTCCTTGGATCCATGGGTTCAAATACACCATGGAGCATCCATAGAGCATCATATGGGTTTGGAGCATTAGCCCACTATATAAGTATGGATGATTTGCACAATCAACCCATATATTTAATTAGTATTCTTTTGATCACTTAATTAATCCTAGATTAATTCTTGATCAATACTAATTAAATAATCTTACTATTCTTATTATTAATATACTAGAACTTATAATATATTAATAACCATAAGTGTCTTATTTCTCTCATTATAGTCTATCCAAGTGCATGATGCCATGCAACCCAAATGGACCATGCCGGGTCGGGTCAAGTCTTACCAATTATAGTTATGGACTTAGACATTAATCCAACAGTCTCCCACTTGGATAAGTCTAAAACTATTATTGCGTATAACTTCAGGAACCAACTGGCAATCGTAGCTCTCAAAAGCTTCTGTCGAACTTTGACCTTGTAGATGAACTCTGACCTTTGTCAATGACTTGTCCATTAGATAAGGGATCATATATTCCTCCATTCTAGATATCATATGGACTGAGACATGGATTATAATCATTCTCTCTGTCCATTTGTTGTTTCCCGATTTCCGATTTATGACGACTGACTAATTGAACAAATCAAATCAGTCCTGGCCCGGCCGAGCACTTCCATTTGT